TCAGCAGAGAACAATAAAGACGGGTTCCCTGGTCTTCTGGGGTTTGTATGCTTTCTTTTGAGTATGTGGAGTGGGTATGTGAGGTGGGGTGTTTTGTGTGTGTGTGTGTGTGCGCGCGCGCGCGCGCGGTACGTGCATTTGTGTTCCCAGGGGCACATGCCCATGAATTTGCATGCAAGAGGCCAGAGAAGGATGCCTTCCTCAATCTGCCTCCAATTTATTTCCTTGAGAAAGAGTCAGTCACTGAACCAGAAGCTATGCCATGGAGTTCCCAGGATCTGCCAGTCTCTTCTCCCAGTGCTGGAGTTTAAGACATTTGTGGTCCTACCCAGGTTTTTTTAGATGAGTGATGGAGGTTCAAACTAAAGTCTTCATGTTTGCATAGCTAGGGCTCTTACCCACTGAGCCATCTCCCCAGTTTACAGTCTAAAGGAAGGAGACAAACAATACTCATCTTAATAAGTGTAGACAGTGACAAGCCCTCTAAAGAAAATTAACAAGCGGATGAATTTCAGAGAGACATGGTGAGCCAGCAACTTCAGAAAGGGCGTGCCAGGAAGGCACTTTGGAGAAGGGGATGTTTGAGCCGGTTCTTTAGGAAGGAACCAATTCAAAGGCCAGGAGCAGGAAGGGATGGCTGTATTTTCAGAAGAGAAGGGAACGGAGTGAGAGGGAGGAAAGGAAGGAGACGCAGCACACAGCTTGCAGAGGTGGCTTTAATACTAAGTGCGACAGGAAACCACGGAAGAGTTTAAAAGCATGAGAATGACCTAATCTGAATTAAGATTTTGTAAAACCACTCGGGCTGCTACTGCGTGTGGGATGGGCGGTTAGACATCTGTTGCGATACCCTAGGCAAGAAATCCGTGATGGCGTGAATTAAGGCAGTGGCAGCAGAGAAGAGAGTGAACCAGATAGGAGACGCACGTTTGAGAAGCAGGGCTGGCAAGGGGTAAAAAGTAGGGAGAAGGGACCCACCACCCACCTCACCACCGGGTGAGGGAAAAGGAGAAGACAAGGGCGATGCTTGAATTGGGGGTTTGGGTAACTGGAAGGTGGCAGAGCTGTTTCCAGAGATCAGAAAACTGGAAAGGGACAGATCTGCGCGGGTGGTAATCTCGAGCTGCCTTTTAGACACTCAAGTTTTTACAGTAAGAAGGTAGGTGCAAAGCCGACACTGAATAAACAAGCTGGCCGGAATATAAGGCCAAGAGGCTGGATTGTGACAGTGGACTGGAGGAGCTACCAAAGGGAGCCAGAGAAAGCATCGCGGGAAATAGTTAACTGGATGGTAAAGGAAGAATAGGAGTCGGTTCGGAGAAGTAAAGGAGTCTGGGAAACAGAATGACTTGAAGACATGTTCAAATGCCTGGAATCCAGAGTTTGGGATGTAGCTCAATGTAGAGCAGTTGCCTAGCATGCAATGAGGCCCTTGGGTTCCACCCAAAGCCCCAGAGTCTAGTCACAGGGGAGCCCACTGATTTTATCCTATTACCCTGGGGTCCAGCACACCGTAGGTTTTCCATAAATATTTGCTAAGTGAGGCATATGTTTAACAAGTTGCAGGTGGCTTGGTGAGGCTGGTTGTGGGTGCAGAGTGTGGATCAGGCCCTATCTATCACTAAAGGGGCAGATTGCTTGCAGAAGCAGGGGGCAGCATCACTTGATAATTTCCTACCTGAGGGAGGTGCCTGTTAAGCTCTGCATTTGAAAAGGAGACAGGTAAGAAGGTGAGGGGAGTGAGAACTGGAAGTCAAGTGTTAGGCAGGGAGATGAGAATGAAGACGGGGAGACACCTCAGGCAGTGTGGGTGACAAGGCCTGGGAAGAGCTTCCTCGTCTTCAAAAGGCTTCCGAGAATCTTTGCACAGACAGAGAAACCTGTATGCCAAAAAGTGATCTGGGTAGTAGCTGGCATTTCCAGGAACCCCTCGTTTTATAACCAATAAGCCTTTCAATTTCCTGGGGAGGAGCATGCCAATAACCTCTAACAGTAAGTTTGCTTGTGAAATAAACACTGAAGATCTGGGATGCGGCTTGGGTCTGGATTAAATTTTGCCTAGAAATAATTACTCCTTCAATATCTACACTTGGTTTTCTAAGTAGTTGAAAAAAAAACTCGCTGCTGGTTCTCTTGACAGCAGACAGGGAACCCACAGAAAGACCTGTGGGTGAGCAAACTTCGGGAAACTGAGTTCTGTTTTGGACGGGCTGACTGAGGCACCCTGGACTGTCCAGACAGGTCAAGCAGCAGGTCCAAGGGAGGGGTTTTGAGGTTTGACTCTAGAGGACATGGTAACAGGCAGATGACCAGGGAGGAGTGGGACCCAGAGATTGAAATAAGAAGCAAAAGCAGCCAAAGGAGTGGTAGGCTCCCAAACTCTCTCTCTCTCTCTCTCTCTCTCTCTCTCTCTCTCTCTCTCTCTCTCTCTCTCTCTCTCTCTCTCTCTCTCTCTATTCAGCTTACCGCTGCCCAGACCTGGGGGCCGCCAGACAAGAAGGGTGAAGGGTTGAAGGGTGGGACGTTAGGTGAAGGTCCCTGTGCAGCAGGAACCCCGTTAAGCGGGTCCACCCTTGGTGTCGGACAGGGAAAAAAGGAGCTGAAATTCGAACCTGGGAAGTCAGCAGCGGATATCCAGAGGTTGCAGTTAAGGCAGCATAAACCTCAGCCTCGGACAGTGACTGGACGAAGACCCCTGGCCCCAAGGTGGCCACCTTCACTCCCCAAGGTGAGCGGGCGCAAAAGAGGGTGGTTGAGAATGGTCCTCTAGAACCCCCAAGAATCAGGGTGGGGGTCTCCTCCTGCTGCGTGCATCTTCCCCCCCAACCCCCACCCCGTTGCAGGTCCCCGGAGCCACCTCGGAATCAGACCTCTGCCTGCGGACTCCGCCCCAGGACCCCTCCTCTTCTCCCCCCGCCCCAGGTTCCGCCGCCCGGTACCGTCTCCCGGGGAGATGGTCTCGATCTCCACGCCCATCGCGGTCCCACAGGCCCCGCCTCCAGGGGGGTCCTCGCGGCTGCCCCGACCCCGGCTCCGCTCAGGCCCGACCCCGCAGGCGCTCCGGCTTGCCTTCTTGCCGCCACTGCAGAGCCGGAGGAGGTGCGGCTGGAGTCAGGACCTGCGCAGGGAGGGGCCGCCGGGAAGGGGGCGGCGGGGTGGAGCCGCGCGACAAGGTGGGGTCGGCCGGGGCGGGGCCCGGGGGAAGCGACCCTGACGTGGCTGCTCCGGAGCCTGGCCAGACTAACCACCATTAACCCTCTAGCCGAGGGAGGAGGGTGATGAATGAGGCGTGCCGGCGCTAGCGCATCCCGCACATCCATCCATCTATCGGTTCAATGCATATTTATTTAGCACCTACTCGGTGCAAAGCTCCAGGGAGTACTCTCAGTCCTACAGACTCGGAGGAGAAAGCCGGTAATTAAACTAACACTTTAAATACATGTGCTCAATACAACAGAAGCACCCGAGACTGATACCTAACCCTGGTTAGGTTTCCCGAATCTGCTGCAACAGAGCCGGGGAAGGCCAGAAACCAATTATTGGTGATTTTTTTTCCCCGACCACCTTAAGCCCATATTTATTATCCCTCAAAGGTCTACATCAGGTATTTGTACTGGGGTCTCACTTTTCAAGGCCACGCACTGCTTCCCTGGGGATTCCAATTGAATTAAAGCAGGATCGCTGTGCTGCGGGTTCTAGCTGAGAATTCAGCTACAGCCTGGAGTGGTAAGTGTTGCAGAAAGAATGAATGAATTTCTTTACCTCTAATTCAAAACAGACTGGAATCTAGAAAGATACCTCTGCCTCCGTGGTAATGGGAATTGAACCAAGGGAAATCAGGGCCTCTTCACACTCTAAGCTAAAAGAGGCTACATCCATAGGCCATAGGGAGGAGGTAGCATTTGTTTGAAGACTGAAGGACCCTTTAAGAATGTCCCTCATGGTGCTGGAGAGATGGCTCGGTGGTTAAGAGTAGCAGCTCATCCAGAGGACCCGGATTCAATTCCCAGCAAACTCCAGTTCCAGGGGATCGATCCGACACTCTCCTATAGGCAAAACTCCAGTACACATGAAATAAAATAAATGAATAATTTAAAGGTTTTTTTTTTTTTTTGAGACAGGGTTTCTCTGTGGCTTTGGAGCCTGTCCTGGAACTAGCTCTTGTAGACCAGGCTGGTCTCGAACTCACAGAGATCTGCCTGCCTCTGCCTCCCAATAAAGGTTTTTTTTTAAAAAGAAGAAGAAGAAGAAGAAGAAGAAGAAGAAGAAGAAGAAGAAGAAGAAGAAGAAGAAGAAGAAGAAGAAGAAGAAGAAGAAGAAGAAGAATGTCCCTCACCCTTTCTACATCTTTGCAAAAGTCAACATGTTGATTCTAACAAGAGACGGTATGGGAGAAAGACCTAGAATTGGAACAGGAGGCATTTTCCTTCTGCACTCCACTCTTCCAGGTGGCGAGGTCGCAGACAGCATCCACGCAAGAGGCCTGAGGTTGGCGCTCAGAAAAGAAGGTCTACAGTACTGTCTGGGACAGGATCTGAAAACTCGGCGGGCACGACCTAGAGTCTGCACGGCTACAGAAGCTCTAGACCTCTAAACCTATTGGTTATGGCCTTGGGCAGGTACTTTTAGATTAGGGATAGAACAGAACTGCTACTTGGGCAGGCCTAGGATGCAGCCTCACATTTTGGGAGCGATGTTTTATGGGATTTTAAATGGGTAGTCCCTGACTCCCCTCTCCCAAACTAAAACCGACTAACAATGTTGATTCCTTCTTGCCAACCTCTTCTAAGAGAATGGATGAGACGAGTGTGGGAGAACAGGTTGATGCGCTGGAGACTAAGTGTGAAGATTAATTTGGCGGCGATTACATGGGAACTACAACTCCCACAAACCCTTGCGGCAAAACTCGCTCTCACTGGCTAGCGGAAGGACCCGTGGCTGACGCGATGCACTCGATAGCCAATGGTCTAGAGGTGTTGGCGAGGGCCGAGGACCGAGGCTTCCGTTAGTTGCCCGTGAGTTCTGATTTCCCCCGTCCTGTGATGTGAGCGGCCCCCGGGATTTTTATGTGTTGGGCGGGGAGGCAGAGAGTCCAAGGTATTTCTTGTCTTTTGCGCCAGGCCTGGTGGGCGTATGGAGACTGGGGCTGAGCGGGGAGGCCAGGAACGCAGGCGTGGGCAGAAGTTGAGTACGAGGCAGATAGTGTGTGGTGTGCCGGACAGTAGTTGGAGGACCAGGCAGATGTGGGTTTTAACATGTGAACGAATGAATGTAATGATGCTTCTGGTAATGTAGCCTAAAGAATATAACCTTATTTATAATAGGGTAAAGTCGCCTACGAGCTTTGAGGCGTCTCAGCTAACGAAATTAAGTTCTATCACAAATCACAGTAACTGAGCTTTGTATTAATTGCAGGAGGCTCTGTAACCGGTTAATCTGTTAAACTGTAGCCAAAACGTTGTCTGTGTCTCGCTTCTCTCTTCCTTTGGGGGAGGCAGACGGTTTCTTGTTGTTGTTGTTATTGTGTTGTTTTGGTCTGGTTTGGCCTTTTTGAGACTGGGTACCGTTTGCAGCCTGGAACTCACTGTGTAGTCCAGACTGATCTCGGACTCGAGGCAGGGTGTGTGCTCCAGCGTTTGTGCACGCTGTGCACTTGCTTTGGACATAGTTGGAAGTCGTAACAACCTTTGTGAATTGGTTCTCTCCTGCCACTCTGTGGGAGCCAGGGTATCAGACTTGTACACAAACGCCTATTAACTGCCGGACCATCTTGCTGGCTTTCTGTTTTGTTTTTTTTTTTAAGATTTATTTATTATATATACTGTATTCTGCACCAGATTTTATTACAAATGGTTGTGAGCCATTATGTGGTTGCTGGGAATTGAACTCAGGACCTTTGGAAGAACAGGCAGTGCTCCTAACCTATGAGCCATCTCTCCAGCCCTCTGGTTTTGTTTTGTTTTGTTTTCTTAATGACGATTTTTTTTTTAATGACAAGATTTTTTTTTGTTTTTTTTTTGTTTTGATTTTTTGTTTGTTTGTTTTTGGTTTTGGTTTTTCGAGACAGGGTTTCTCTGTGGCTTTGGAGCCTGTCCTGGCACTAGCTCTGTAGACCAGGCTGGTCTCGAACTCACAGAGATCCGCCTGCCTCTGCCTCCCGAGTTCTGGGATTAAAGGCGTGCGCCACCATCGCCCGGCATTAATGACAAGATTTTTAATTTGGCTTTACTAACCTTAGGTCAGTGACTCCCAAATCTTTCCCCGGGTCAGGGTAAACCAATCTGGGCTACATGAGACTGTGTCAAAAATAAGTACATTACATACTAGACACCTTCCTCATCTTTGAAGCATAAGGGCCTTCTGCATCTCTGATTAATGGTTCAGCTGTCTCCCCAGCTAAGAACTTGCATGCTGTTCCTCAAGTACTCTTCACTGCTCACCTCGCAGCTGACGTCATTGCCTTTGCATCAGCTAGAGAAGCAGGTCCTACACATAGCCTTTGTTCTCTGTGGAAACAGCTGCAAACTTTGCTTCCTCTCTATTTTATTTTATTTATTAGTAATGGAATGCGGGGGGTTGGAGGACATGCATACCATGGCAGATGTGTCGGAGAAGATAGGACACTTTCATGTGTTGGAATTTTCCTGTACTTCTTGGAAGGCAGGGATTGAACTCAGGTCAGCATGCTTTTGAGGCAAACATGTTTATCTACTGAGCCATCTTTTTGGTTTTTTAAATATTTATTTATTTATTATGTATACAGTATTCTCAGTATTCTGTCTGCATGTATGCTAGGAGGCCAGAAGAGGACACCAGATCTCACTACAGATGGTTGTGAACCTGTGAGCCACTATGTGGTTGCCGGGAATTGAACTCAGGACCTTTGGTCCTGACCTTTGCTCTCAACCACTGAGCCATCTCTCCAGCCCCCTCTGCTGAGCCATCTTGCTGACTCTTTGTTCACTTTATTATTGTGGCATTCAGACTCTTTTATTCCCCCTCCCACTTTTGGGGAGACAAGGTCTCACTATGTAACTCTAGCTGGCCTAGAAACCACACTATAAACCAGACTGGCCTCAAACTCCCAGAGATTTGACTGCCTCTGCCTCCTTTAGGACAAAGACCAAGTTACAAAGATATATTTGTAGCAAATAATATGAGCCCTTAATGTCTTGTTAATTCCTTTTGAAAAAACTTTATTATTCTTAATTTTGGGGGAGGGTGCTAGGGATTGACCCCAGAGTTTTGAGCGTTTGAGGCTGAACCGCTACCAATGACCCACATCCTTAGGTCCAGAAGGACATTTTTATATGCTGGATATCTGTGTCTACTCATGAAGTTTGTGAATAGAAGGGAAAAGTGACTTTAAACTCTGCACAAAGTTAGCTGGGCAGTGGTGGCACACATGGTTAATCCCAGGACTCGGGAGGCAGAGACACACGGATCTCTGAGTTCCAGGCCATCCCGGACTACGGAGTGAATGCCAGGACAGCCAGGGCTACAGAGAGACTCTGTCTTGAAAAAAAATTAACAAAACAAAATGAGGGTCAGCAAGATGGCTTAGCAGGTAAGGGTGACTGCTGCCAAGCCTGACAACCTGAGTTTGTATCCAGGACCCACATGGTGGAAGGAGAGAACCAACTTCTAAAAGTTGTTCCCTGACCTCTGTATGCGTGCATGCCACATGATGCAGAGGCAGGCAGATCTCCATGAGTTCAAGACCAGCCTAGTCTACAAAGCAAGTTCGGGACATGCAGAGCTACATAATAGAAAGGCCTTATCTAAAAAAAAAAAAAAAGAAAAAAGAAAGAAAGAAAGGAAGGAAGAAAGAAAGAAAGAAAGAAAGAAAGAAAGAAAGAAAGAAAGAAAAGAACAACAGCAAACTCTCTCTTTCACAAGATAATACAGGAGTTGTACTGAATCCTGTCTAGTCAGCATCATGTAACGGCACTTGTAAGTCGCCTTGATCCTTTTCTGTTCCCCAATTTAGCCAACAGTCCATCTAAGTCATCTCTGGGTTGAGTTTATAGGACTTGGTCAGTTTTTCCATATTTGATGCCTGCTTTGAATTCAGTTTGTGCATGTGGAAAAATACACAGACCTATTATCCTAACCATTTGAAGTATGCATTGGTATTAAACACACCCACAGTGTTGTACAACCACCACAGCTGTCCATCTCTGATAATACCTTTCACCTTTTAGAAAAAAAATTTCCCCTCGAGATAGGGTTTCTTATTGTGTTATATTTTTCTTTTTGCTTTTTGAGGGGCCCGCCACCCAGCTCCTTAATAAATCACATGGAGACTTATCTTATTATAAATGCTTTAGCTTGTTTCTTGCCAGCTCCTCACCTTTTGCCTCTGAGCTTTTATCTTTCTCTCTGTGTGTATACCTTCCTTACCTCTTTCTCCACGGCTTGCTGTGTGTAGCTGGGCCCTGATGTCCTCCTCTCAGAGTTCTCCTTCTATATGTATACTCTCTGCCTGCCAGCCCCGCCTATCCTTGCTCCTGCCTCGCTATTGGTCGTTCATCTCTTTATTAGCTCATCAGGTGTTTTAGACAGGCACAGTAACACAGCTTCACAGAGTTAAACAAATGCAGCGTAAACAAAAGTCACACACCTGAAAATAATATTCCCCAACAGTTTCTCTGTGTTGCCCTGGCTCTCCTGGAACTTGAACTGTAGCCATGGATCAGGCTGGCCTTAAACCCCAGCCTCCTGGTGTTGGAATTAAAGGATGTACCACCACACCTGGCAGAGCTGAAACTTTATTTGGGGGTGGGGTTTGAGACAGGGTTTCTTTGTGTAACCTTGTGATCCTGGTACTCACTTTGTAGACCAGGCTGGCCTTGAACTCACAGACATCCTCCTGCCTCTACTTCCCAAGCACTGGGATTAAAAGTATGTGCCACCACTGCCTGGCAACAACTGAAAACCTTTATCTAGTGTGCTTCTTTAGTAAATACCTGGATGTGAGGAGATGGGGATCACAGTGCGAAGGTTGATGCTTTACATATTGTAAAGAATTGCTGCACAGAGTAGAGCCAGCCGAGGATGTAGACATTCCCTGGAAATTATAGAGCTGTGTGGGTGTGGTAAAGGGGAAATCACACAGCGATTCCTGAGTACCATTCAGGAAAGAGGAAAAAGCCACTGTTAAAGACCTGAGGAAGTAAGTGCTAATAAAGCCAGAAGTGTGGATATCATTGATTTGACATGACTGGATAATAGGCTTTCCCTAACTTGTAATATTTAATTAAACATTGTCTAACTTGAAAGTGCCAGAAATAACTGGATACGGTCCTCACACCTTTTACCCCAGCACGCAGAAGGTTGAGGTAGGAGGATCACTAAGAGTTTGATGTTACATAGTGACCTGGGTTACATAGTGAGCTCCAGGTAAGCATGGGCTAGAATGAGACTCAGTCTCAAAAGCAGTCAAGTAAAAGATAGGGACTGGCAAGATGGCTCCGAGGGTAAGGGTGCTTGCTACCAAGCCTGAAGATCTGAGTTTAGTCCCCAGAGCCCACACAGTACAAGGAAAGAATGGACTCACCACTTGTCCTATGACCTCTGTGCACTTGAGCGCATGGCACACATACATAAACTGAGACCTACGTTTGTTTCCTGTTGCTGCTATGACCATATCCCTGGTGATTTAAAGCAACACAATATTATCATCTTACATATCTGTAAATTATAAGCCCAATGTGGAGCAATCTTTCAGTCTAGGATATATAAACTGAGATCAATAAATAGTGCTTTTAAAAAATTAAAAGAGATGAGTGGTGGTGGCATACACCTTTGATTCCAGCACTGGGGAGGCAGAGACAGACAACTCTGTTAGTTTGAGGCCAGCCTGATCTACAAAACAAGTTCCAGGACAACAAAGGCTACACAGAGAGACCCTGTCTCAGCCCCAGCCACCAGAGTTTAAAAGGGTTCTAAAGAGAATGTGTGGTTTACAGTACGTGCTGCTTACAGAGGACCTGGCTTTGCTTCCAGCGTCCACGTGATGGTAGCACCAGTTCAAAGGGATCTGATACCGTGTGGCCTCCTCAGGTATTAGACACATCTACATGCATTCAAGCAAATTCTCACACACATAAGATGAATATATCTTTAAAAAATAGAGAAATGGAGAGCAAGAAAAAAAGAACTATAAATACCAGGATAAACTCTAAATTCTCTCTCTCTCTCTCTCTCTCTCTCTCTCTCTCTCTCTCTCTCTGTGTGTGTGTGTGTGTATGTGTGGTTTGAACCACGGTCTCACTATGTTACAGGCTGGCCTGGAACTCACGGTATAGACCTGGGGTTAAAAGTGTGCACCACCATAGTGGGCAATTACATTATTAATTATTTTTTGTGCCATGCCAGGGATTTAAGCTATGGCCTCACACATGCTAAATACAGGCTCTGTCATTGAGCAATGTCTCCAGCTCAGTATCTTCTAATGTCCATTCCAATTCAAATTTCTCCAGTTCTGAAAATACTCCTTTTCCCCTCCCTTTCTCAGTAGTTTTCTTTCTGGCATTGCTCATAATGCTCACTTTGGCATTTGCAAGTTGCTCTTCTGTATCACAGTAACTTTAGCCTGTGCAGGGTCCTGCCTACTGTAGAATCTAACTTCTGCGTTTGCATGACTGTTCTTTCTGGGTATAACTTTCCTTCCCCTCTCCCCTCTCTTTTGAGACAGCCCCACTCTACAGACCTAGCTGGCCTGGAACTCACTATGTGGACCAGGTTGGTCTCAAACTCACCCAGCTCCTCCTGCTTCAGCCTCCTGAGTGCTGGCATTAAAGGTCTGCGTCACTCCGTCCTTCTGTAACTCTCCTCCTTAATGTTTTCAGAGACCCTTTATTGGAAAGGATGGAGTTGGGGAACGGAAAACTGCTAAGGACCGGACTGAACTCACTGAATCAGGCGGTGCATCCAACTCATGGCCTTGCCTGGACTGACGGGAACCGAGTAATCCTGACTGATTTGCGGCTTCAGAGGGGAGAGGCCAAGTTTGGGGACTCCCAGGTCATTGGAAAATTCGAATATGTGTGTGGGGTTTCCTGGGCCCCCGTCAGCGTAGCTCACATACCCACTCTGCTCGCCATCCAGCACAAGAAGCATGTCGCCGTGTGGCAGCTGTGTCCCAGCACTTCGGGTTCCAGCAAATGGCAGATGTCTCAGACCTCTGAAATCCGAGAATCCCTCCCAATCCTTCCTCAGGGCTGCCTGTGGCACCCGAGAGATGCTGTCCTGACTGTGTTGACGGCGCAGGATGTTTCCGTTTTCCCTAACATTCACCGTGACGGTTGCAGAGTGAAAGTGGACATCAACACCAAGGGCCGAATTTACTGTGCCTGTTGGACCCTGGATGGGCAGCGGCTGGTGGTGGCAGTAGACAGCAGCCTTCATTCTTATATGTGGGACAGCTCTCAGAGGTCTCTCCAGAGCTGCTCCTTCTGCCCAGTGCTCCAAGTGGGCCGCTCCATCCGCTCCATTGCAGCCACCGAGGACTCACAGGTTGCTATAGCCACTGAGCTTCCACTCCATAAGCTTTGTAGCTTAAATGCGGCTGAAGCCTTTGCTGTCCCACCCAACGGTGAAGATGCTGGCGTGCACTCTCTTCCTGTGGGGGAAATGCCCCCTGGGGAAATGAATTCTGGAGTGACGGTCTCTCCCTTTTCAGATCCTCTGGATCTGACTCACATCCACTTCAACCCATCTCCAGTTGAGGAGAGTTCTCTTGTTTGTGTCAGAAAAACGGACTACTTGACAGGTACAGGCCAGGACTCTTCACACCTGATCTTGGTAACCTTTAAGAAAGCAATTACCATGACAAAAAAGGTTGCCATTCCAGGCATTCTGGCTCCAGATTTAATAGCATTTAACCTGCAAGCACAGCTAGTGGCTGTGGCTTCCAATACCTGTAACATCATTTTGATCTATTCCACCATTCCATCCTCTATGCCAAACATCCAGCAGATTCAGTTAGAGAGTAACGAAAGACCAAAAGGCGTATGCTTCTTAACAGACAGATTTTTATTAATTTCTGTAGGGAAACAAAAGCCCACTGAGACTGCATTTCTTCCTTCCTCAGAATCTGATCAGTATGCTGTTCGCCTGGTAGTTAGAGAGGTAACATTGGGAAGAGAATCTTCTGGAATGCCTGCTGAAAGTCAGGACGCTTATTCTGCCTTCAACACTCTGTTGAATAAAGTAGACAGAGAAAAGTTTCTTGAGAGCCTTTCACCGGGCTTGAGTCCCCTGAGCTCAGGACTCTTGCTGACAGCTAACGCCAGTACTCAGGGTGGGAGGTCTGGAAGAGCCCTTATTCAGGAGATTACAAGTCCCTTGTCCCCTCTGTCCAGGGATTCCATTGTACGAGAAACCCCTCACACATCCTCCTGGCTTTGGCCCGGATTGCCTAGACCCAGCAGGACACCAGATCACACCAGCACCTCAGAGCCAAATTTACCTCAAACAGAGAACTTAGAAAAAGAAAAGGAAATTTGCCCGCACTCCAGGGAGCTGGAAGTTCTATCTAGGCACCTGGCTGGAATGCAGCAGTGCCTTTTTGAACTCGTGGATTTTCTACACAAGGAAAAGCGGTTCTCTCCAGTGTATCCACTCTCTCAGGACCCTCCCTATGTTCACCTCATTTACCAGGTAATGTCTCCTTTGAGGAACTTCCACTATGCAGGAAGCTCTTGACTCCAGGAGGTCCTGCCACAAACATTGTAAGGAGGGGAGCTCTGAGCAAAGCCCAGTGACTTGCGCGTACCGTGTTACAGACAAGCTCATACAGCTTTGTACAGTTGGTTGGATGTGAACTACCAAAAGTGCACACACCAAGGTTTAGTGCGATTTTATCATATCCTTGGTGTGGAATTAATGCCTGCACTCTGGTGACTTATGTTTAGACAAACAATAGGCTTAATTGTGTCATTTCATCATGAAAACCTTTCCCATGTGTGTGTGAGAGAGATCATTTACAACATTTTTATCCCTAAACATGCACATGCAAATACATCTCCATGGGAGTGTTGTGGCTGTTGTTTGTATTTTTGAGACAGGGTTTTATTTCTGTATCCCTGGCTATCTTGGAACTCACTCTGCAGACCAGGCTGGCCTCAAACTCAGAGATCCCCCTGCCTCTGCCTTTGAAGTGCTGAGATTAAAGGTCTGTGCCACTACTGCCTCTGTACATATGAAGTCGAGCACAGAGCCCTGTGTACATAGATACATACAGTACTGGGGAGTGCTTTGTTACTGTTTTACAACAGTGGGATCATGGGGTACACTGTACCTCAAGCTGAGTATGCATGCTTACTCAGCTTCATTTTCTGTTGGGCACCTCAAATAATGCTAACATAGTTTGTTTATTCATGGGATTAGTGCCTTTATTTCTGTTGGATTAGTTACTGTCTTGAGGAAGCTGGGCACCTTTCTCCCTCCTGCATGTGGTTTCATCCACTGAGGACGCTGTGGTTACAGGGATCATCTGAGCCCAGAGTATGAGCTGAATTAGACCCTATCTCAAAACAAACAAAAGTCCTACTTTTTATAAAGGTGAATGTCAAACATAAATGACTACATGTTTAGATATCTCTTTAGACATGAATATTCTCAGACTGAAAGTACTTCTGTTCTTGAGCATTTCAGAGAAGGGATAACCAGCCCATGTAGTGAAAGTCTGTGTAGTCAAGGTCAGCATGGCGTGAGTTTGAGACTCACAAAAGAGAGTAATAATGTAGAAAGCAAAGTGTGTGAGACACATGGCTGCTTTATAGCACTTTTCCATGGCAAATATTCATTTTTTAAAAAGATTTATTTATTATATATAGTGTTTTGCCTGCATGGTCACCTTCACGCCAGATGAGGGCGCCAGATCTCATTACAGATGGTTGTGAGCCACCATGTGGTTGCTGGGAATTGAACTCAGGACCTCTAGAAGAGCAGCCAGTGCTCTTAACCACTGAGCCATCTCTCTAGCCAGGCAAATATTAATTGTATAAAGTAATGGGTTTTCCTGGGCAGTGGTGGCTCATGCCTTTAATCCCAGCACTTGGGAGGCAGAGGCAGGCGGATCTCTGTGAGTTTGAGGCCAGCCTGGTCTACAAGAGCTAGTTCCAGGACAGCTAGGGCTGCTACACAGAGAAACCCTGTCTCGAAAAACCAAGAAAAAAAATTAAAGTAATGGGTTTCATTATGACTCATTGAATTCACCCCTTTCCCTCCCCTTCCCTGATCCCCAAATCTTCCTATGATAGTCCCTTCTGTTTGTGTGTCACCCTCCTCCGGGTTCCACATATGAGAGAAAGGTGGTGCTTCTCAGAGTCTAACTTATTCACAAACCAGCCAGCCAGGTCATTTGTAACGTGGTTCTGCAAGTACTTAGGAAGACACTATCCAAATAATAATCAGGAGTCATGGACAGATGGTAAGGGATAGATAGAGTAAGGGCAGGAACTTAAGCAGGACAGGAACCTGGAGGCAGGACCTGATGCAGAGGCCATGGAGGGGTGCTGCTTACCGGCTTTCTCCTCACGACTTGCAAAACCTACTTTCTTAAGAACCCAGGACCAGCTGCCCAGGGATGGCACCACCCACAATGGTCTGGCCCCTCCCCCATCAATCTCTAATTAAGAAAATGACCTACAGGCTTGTGCACACCCTGTTCTTATGGAGGCATTTTCTCAGTTAAGGTTCCCTCCTCTCTGAGGACCATACCTTGTGCCAAGTTGACATAAAACCAAGCAAACACTGGCCCTAGAAGTAAATTTTTTATTCTGTGTTCATAATTATGCTTTTAGGCTTATGTCTTAAAGTAGAACTATAACAATTTAAAGATAAAATAGGTATATTTTAAATCACTTAAAAGACTTCACTCTTTCATGGCTTAAAAAAAAAGTTTGTGTTTTGAGATAGACTCTCACTGTGTAACACTGTCTGTCTTCAACTCGCTCTGTGACCTTAAAGTTTGCCCTGCAACCCCAGAGCTGGATCTAGCATGGGCGCCATCACTCCCAGCTCCCTCAATGTTGGTCTTAAGAAATGTCATTGCAGCTGAGCAGTGGTGGCGCACGCCTTTAATCCCAGCACTCAGGAAGCAGAGGCAGGCGGATCTCTGTGAGTTTGAGGACAGCCTGGTCTATAAGAGCTAGTTCCAGGACAGGCTTCAAAGCTACAGAGAAACCCTGTCTCGAAAAAAAAAAAACCGATAGATAGATAGATAGATAGATAGATAGATAGATAGATAGATAGATAGATAGATAGGAAAAAAGAAATGTCATTACATTGCTCTTACCATCAATTAACCATTTTTACTTTTCCTTGAAGAAACCTTCTGTGGGTCCTGCTGAAGAAAGAGCCGTGCTTCTCTGTGATGGCAAACTGAGGCTCAGCACCATCCAGCAGATGTTTGGCCTCTATCTCGTTGAAATGCTGCACAGTAAGTTAGCACCAGAGCACCCTCTTCCTCTCCTGGCTATTTTGACTTCATGAATGGAAATGATGCTGTCCAACCTTTCAGTGATTCACGAACCAGTTAATAAGTTATGATTAATTGCCTACTATGTACCCAGGCCTATTAGAGAAACTACAGCCCATTGAAAACGAGTCCTTTCCTGAGGGAACTTACACCCAACTGGGAAAATCCTCACTTTTTAAAAAGTAGAATGGATTTTAAAAGAAAAGGTAGGACTAAATTCAGGGCAGTTTGTAGCAGTGTGCCTGCTGCAGTCAGGAGCAGCTTTACAGAAGCCCTGCAGTGTTGCCTGGAGGAGCTGACATCCCCTTGCAGAAGAGCCCCGCCTGATCACTTAGTGATCACTTGTGGGACATGGCTGTTTTGTTATGCCTCATTTTTATAACAGTAGCCACCACACTGAACACAAGACATTTTGTTTTCTTTTAACATGTTTCTGTTTTGACAGATACATTTATAATATGGCTTTGCAATTGTCATTTTTAACAGGTTAACATTACTTTGGAGATACACCATTTTTACTTCATATTTTCTTGTTAGTTAGAGTTTAGTTTAGTTTAAAATTTATTATTTGTTTTATGTGTTTGCCTGCAAATTTATCTGAGAACCAGATGCATGCAGTACCTATGTAGGCCAGAAGAGGGCATTAAGTTGCCTGTGACTGGTGTTACAGAGTTAGCCTTTATGAATTTGCTAGGAATTTAACCCTGGTTCTCTGGAAGAATAGCTGATGCTCTTAGCTGCCGAGCCATCTCTCCAATTCCATTTTTATTTAACATGTATGAGTATTTTGTCTACATATATGTCTATACACCATGAGTACACTGTGACCTAGGAGACAAGAAGAAGGTATTGGATCCCATCTTCCATTCTCAGCAGGCAGTGTGTGCTCACCATGCGTATACACACGTGCATACATACAGGGAAATCACTCATACCTGTAAAATACTGTATACACATTTAGGTCATTTTAATGTATTCACCATTATAAATAACAGTAAGAAAAATCTCCCTGCATATTTGTCTGTTAGTTTTGGGAATGTATATTTTTCAGAAGTAAAATCACATGTTCTCTGAGACTTCAAGGAACCAGAGAAGATCCAAATATGTGCCATACTTGTGGCCCCAGGGCAAACCCCAGGGTTTTCTAGGTCACTATTCTTCTATTCACCTCACCCCCCTTGAATAACTACAGTTGGTGCTAATATATAGAATAAAAAAGTTCCTCGGTTGGGTGGATCTTCTTCATGAAGTTTCTGGAGAACCTAGCGAGCATCCTAATATGTACAGATGTGCGCCCACACACCTGTATGCCTAGCACCATATGATGCTGGGCTGGGGAGACGGCTCAGTGGGTGAGGAGGAGCACTGGCAGGTCTTCCAGGGAACCCAGGTTCAATTCCCAGCACTCTCAACTGTCTGTAGCTTCTGTTACTGCCTGTTCCAGAGGATCCGACACCCTCATACAGATGTACATGCAGGCAAAACACCAATGTGTACACAAAATAAAACTAACAATTTATAAAGGTCAGTCCTGGGCTGGGGAGATGGCTCAGTGGTTAAGAGCACTGACTTCTCTACCAAAGGACCCAGGTTCAATTCCCAGCACCCACGTGGCAGCTCACAACTGTCTATAACTCCAGTTCCAGCATTCTCAACACCCTCATATGCAGGCAAAACACCAGCACACATAAAATCCATGGTTAAAAAATAAATAGATGTCAGTCCAGAGGAAAACTGTTATGTTTTTAGCTTTGAGTGCCCCACTTCCTGAGCTGCCATGTGACCTGACCCTGAGCACAACTCCATCCTTTCATCTCCATATTTCCTGAAGTGTTACATGATGGGGTTTATGATGGGGTTTGATATCAGCCCCTGTATCTCATTTCTGAAAAGTTATCCCTGATGTGGTGGTGTGCGCCTACTATGGTCGCAGCACTGAGGCCGAGTCACGAGTACCAGTGTGAGGCCAGCCTTGGGCTGCGTGGTGCCAGAGCAGCCGCAGCTGCAGAGCCAGACTTCACAGTAGTAGCCAGACCTGTTTGCAGTTACGTGTTGATCCTTCTAGAACCGTGGGTCCCCTAAGCTGCTGTGCATCTGTTTGCTCTGTAGATTCCCACTGGATCCTCCTCTCTGCCGACAGCCAAGGTTTCATCCCATTGACTTTCGCAGCCTCCCAGACGGTCGTGGTGAGAGATGGCAGCCTGTCCAAGCCAGAGCTGGCTAGGGGCTCTCCTTCTCACAGTCGGGATCCCATTCTGCCACCTGGAGGCTTTGGAGACCTTGCCACACAGAACGCAGAAACTGCTGGCTGTTTCAGCAGTGTGGCCTGAGGGCTGTGTCTGCTCCACCAGCTTCCTTCCCTTGGGCTGCAGGCTGCTGGACAGCAGGGCGAGTGCTTGCTTGTGTGCTCCTGACTGCGCCACCTGGAGGACAGCATGCCAAGAACAAAACCATACTGTGTCACCATGTGGATCGTATCCTACAATATTTCTCCAAGGCATTGCTTCCCTGAAGCTGGGTTCAGACTGCCTGGAGCGAGTGCATCATGGGATACTCTGGCACAGTGGTAGGCCTTTGCCTTGCTTTAAATGTGCAGGTGAGAAGAGCCACTGGGGAGCCTGTGCTTCAGCACTGCCTTTTAACCCATTCCCCAGGCAGCAGGAAACCAATGCAGAGGAAGTCAGAGACCTGCTTCACCCTAAGGACTGCCTGGATCAGGAGGATCAGTTCAGAGGAAGGCCTCCCTCCCTGGATTTAAAACCAACTTTTTTGAGTCCGTTGACAGTTCTAGCTAATGAGGTCCAGATATTGCTCAAAAAAAAAAAAAAAAAAAAAAAAAAAAAAAAAAAAAAAAATGATGTGGGCAACAAAATAAGATAAAATAAAATGTTAAGATTTGACCCCCTCTGGCCTCCACCTGATTGTGTGCCATTGCCCACCTGGTGAGACCCATACCTTGTTTTCTTACCTTTGCCACTCATGATTTTCTCCTTGAGATGTGTTGATTTATTTTCCAGTTTGAGGATCACAAAAATTTCTCATTTTCCCTCCCAGCAATTAGCCTTCTTGGTTAACTTTTCATTTGTTTGTTGCGGAAGTGAGGTAAGGCTCTCGCTCACACTGAGCTGTGTACCTCTGGCCCAGCTTGCCACTTAACTTTGCTATTTCTCTTCTAACTCCTTCAGACCCAGAGACCAGCATAGAATCACAGAGTATTTCATAATGTTGAACACTTGACAAAATCCAAACGAGCTCTAAAGCACATCAGTCTGTGCATACTCAATAAGGTGCCCTTAGTACGCGGGGAAGAGCCTGACCCCTGCAGCCGGACCCTCGCAGCGTCAGGTCAGGCCGTGTCCCCCGTGTCAGATTGATGAGGGTTGGAAGTGCAGATACATTGTTTCAGCCATCGAGGCTCCATTAACACATATACCCCCCTCCTTTTCCCTTTAAAATTACCCAGAGAGGAAATAGCTTGTGCCTTGGGGGACTCCTGTCCGTCTGCTGCAGTTTATGAAGATGGAGCTGGGCTAGGAGAGAGGCGAAGGCCTGTTTTGTGGTCCGGATGCATTAGAGTACTGCTGGGATAATGGACAGGAAGGCCGCGCGTCTGTAATCAGCGGCCTGGAGGGTGGTGGCTGAGGGACGGCAGGCCTGGCTCCAGCGGCAGAGAAAGTGTCTGGGGTGTCATGAAATCACTGCTATTATGGATCCTAAGGAGAGGAACTAGGGGAACCTGAGTAAGGATCAATGTGAAGGCCTCGAGATGTACTTATAATCACCATTTCTTAGGGCAGAGCACTCAGAATGACTCTCAAGTGGAATCTCAAATATCGGCCGAGGCTGTCAGAATGTTCTAATGGTACGGTCTCTGTGAGAATCGCTGGTGTAGAGAAGTGTTCTGCATCTGCACGTGCATAAGTGTCCTCTTGGTTTTTCTTTTCAAGACAGGGTTTCTCTGTAGCTTTGGATCTCTGAGTTGGAGGTCAGCCTGGTCTACAGAGTGAGTTCCAGGCTGCAGTGAGACCCTGTATAATCATAGTAGTAATGATAAGTCATTCTAAAGAGCAAGAACATTGTTAGAAACCTTTCAAGCTTTCTATGTATCCCTTTCAGTCCTGTCTCATTAGCTCCAAAGGTGACTGATAAATGTCTCGATTATTGTGATTATTGCTTCTTCATTCCTCTCCTTCAAAGGAGTTTCACCACCATGTATGCGTAGACATAATGTTTATTTCTCTTGTTTTTAAGCTTTAAACAAATGGTATATTATATAGTCTTCTGACTCTTGAGAGTGCTTGTGTGTGTGTGAGTGCATCTGCACACTTGTGAATGTGTGCTCATGTTTATATAGAGGCCCACGTTTGTTGCTCATTTCCTATTTTCCTGTTCACCTTTTTCACTTAGACAATGTTGTTCTGTGTAGTGGCTGACCTGGAACTCCCTCTTTAAACCAAGATGACCTTGAACTCACAGAGATCCACCTGCTTCTGCTACCTGGAATTAAAGGTGTGCACCACCTCTGCCTAGCATCCATCCACCCTTTTTTGAAATAGTGTTTCCCATTAGTCTGGGACTCACCCAGTAGGCTTGACTAGCTGGCCAGCAAGCTCCAGAGATCTGCCTGGTTTCACATCCCCAAAACACTCAGATTAAAACCTTATGCCACCATGTATGTTTTTTGCTGTTGATTTTTTTTTTTTTTTTGAGACAGGGTTTCTCTGCAACTTTGGAGTCTGTCCTGGAACTAGCTCTTGTAGACCAGGCTGGCCTCGAACTCACAGAGATCTGCATGCCTCTGCCTCTCACGTGCTGGGATTAAAGGCGTGCGCCACCACTGCCTGGCTTTTAATGTGAGTTCTGGGAACCTAACTCAGATCTCATGCTTAGAGGCAGTGATGTTCTTTTGACTGAGCAGTCACTACAGCCCCTCCACCTTGTTTTCCAAGAATGCATCCTACTGAACCTGGAGACTATTTTGGCTAGACTAACGAGCCATCCAACTCCTAGGATCTGCCTGTCTCCCTGCCAACCCTCCACCAAACCCTGGGGCCACAGCCGAGCCCTGCCATGCTGCCCCTGGATGCTGAGGATCTGAACTCAAGTCCTCATGCTTACACAGAAGCACGTACCCACTAAACCACCTCTTAGCCCCAACTGTCGGGGACCAACTTCGACAAAAATACCACTCGCCAGGGGAGGGGGGGTGTTGGGATTTAGAAATATAGTAAAGAATACTAAGATGTGGAAATAATAAGACAAAAACATAGGATAGTACTGGGAGGGAATTCCAGTGAATACTGAAATCACCACGCTTAATTTCCAATTGCTTAAAATACCCCTGGCCCCAAAAGGTAGGAAGGAGTAAGACAAAAAAAACTACATTAATGTGATACAAGGAAATGAACAGACCAATTGAAGATCGTGGGCTACACCCACAGTTAGGAACCAGACCTTTGTTTGAGGTGGAAACACAGCAATAGCTTGAAAAGATAGGTGTAAGTTCCAGTGCTCTGACTTTTGGTCAGCATGGAAGTAGGCTCACATTTTTTGGGCCTCCACACCAAACTCAGGATTATCTCGAAGATGCTTCCTCATATGTGTGTGTGATTTTTACCTTTGTGACTTGGCACAATTTACAGCCCCACTGGCATGGGCATTTGGTTGCTTCCTGGCTTTATTTTAGAAATTATGAACCATATTGCTTTGGATACTATTGTACATATCTCTATATGCAAATATTTGAGAAGTCTCTCTGTGGTCTTTTACCCAGAAATGGCTCTCACTGTTACACTGATTGGTTACTACAGATTGCCTGATAGTAGGTCTTGAGACCAGCTGTTATAATGCTTTCTTCTTTTTTGCTCAAAAATGAAGTGGCACTAGTATTTTTGCGTGCTTCCATATGAATATGAGTGTTTTTTTTGTTTTTTTTTTTGTTTTTTTTTTAGGAAGTATGTTGGGCTAGGGACAGGTTCAGAAGAGGCCATATTCGTGGCTCATCTAGCATATACCTAAGGCCGTAGGTTCAATCCTTACCTGGAAAATAGACAAAATAACAACAAAAACTGAGAAGCTGGGCACATGTCTAGGATCCCAGTACTTAGTAAGGTAAGCCAACATTGGTGAATTTGAAGCCAGCTTGAACTATACAAACAGCAAAGTCCTGTCTCACACACAGAAAGAATGGTACTTGCTGTAGGATTGTGGCAGATCCTTCTTTTGGGAAGAAACATTTCTTTTTGTTCTTGTTCTGAGTTCTTCTATTATGGATGGATGCATTTAGTTTTTATCAAACTTTTTTTTCCATGGAGGGGATGAGTTGTGTTTGGATGCATGATGTTGGGAGTGCCTGAAAAGCATTCAGGAGGCATTGGGGAGCTGAAGCTCAGCAGATCGCATCGGGTTTGGAGTGGACTCTGCAGCAGCAGCGTGTGGTGGTGGTGGTGGTGGTAAGATCACACTGGGAAGGCGGAGGAGGTCAAGGAGCATCAAAGAAGCAGAAGCAAAGAGGGAAATGTGGGTCAGAAGCGGTGGAGAACAAGCCGAGGAAGACTAGAGTTCTGAGGTGTGGGGCTCAGTGTCCGTTGCCTAGCATCAGTTACCTGTCCTGTTGCCATGCTAAAATATTCTGATAAAAGCCCCTTAAGGAAGGAAGGGTTGGCCAGGCAGAGGCAAGCAGATCTCTGTGAGTTCGAGGCCAGTCTGGTCTACTAAGTGAGTTCCAGGACAGCTAGCACCATTACATGAGAAATGAGAAATTCTGACTCAAAAAAAAAAAAAAAAAAAAAAGAGGAGGAAGAGGAAGAAGAGGAGGAAGGGTTTATTCTGACTCCGGGGTACAGGGTTGGGAAGCCATGGCAACAGGAGCTTGCAGCAGCAGCTCACATTGCATCAGAAGTGAGGAGGAAGGAAGTGAATGTTGATGCCCTGCTTGCTCTCTCGTCCTTCAGCCTGGGACCCCAGCCCATGTGATGGTGGCACCTACAGTGAGCAGGTCCTCCCACCGCAGTTAACCTGTCAGGATACTTGTCTCCCCAGTAATTCTAACTCCTGCCAAGTTGGCAATCAGTAATTAACCACTATAGTCTGGAGCTTTGTCAGGCATTGCTAATTTGATTGACATATTCATCCTGAGATGTACAGAAGGTAGGTGTTCAAAGAAGAAATGACCATCTATTCAGACAGCTGAGCCTAGGAGTTGAGCCTGCTTGGGCAACATAACCTCTAATCTAAACTAAACTCAGATTTTTAAAAACAATGATGATACATACCTGTAACCCCTGGTAAAGGCAGCAGGATCAGTTCAAGGACAGCTTCGGCTACATAGTGGGTTTGAGGCCAACCTGGGCTACATATGAACTTGTCTCAAACAAACAACAAAAGTAATGAATAAAGGACTGGAGAGATGGCTCAGTGTTCAAGAGTATTTGTTGCTCTTACAGAGGACCAAGGTTTAATTCCCAGCACCTGCACTGGGCAGTTTATAATCCTCTGTAACTATAACTCCAGGAGCGATGCTGCCCTCTGCTGGTCACTGCAGCACCTGCATTCATGTAGTGCACATATACACTAAGGCACAAACACATACACATAAAAGAAATCTTTAGCCGGATAGTGGTGGCACATGCCTTTGCTGGTAGCACTTGGAGGGCAGAGGCAGGCAGATCTACAGGTGTGAGGCAAGCCAGGTCTACAGATAGAGTTCCAGGACAGCCAGGACTACACAGAAACTCTTGTCTCAAGAAACCAAATTAAGAAAGAAAAGTAAAGAAGGAAAGAAAGCAATCTTTAGAAACAAGAAATAGGGCTGGAGACATGGCTCACCGGTTAAGAGCACTGACTGCTCTTCCAGATGTCCTGAGTTCAATTACCAGCAACCACGTGGTGGCTCACAACCACCTATAACGAGATCTGGTGCCCTCTTCTGGCCTACAGGCAGGATACTACATAAATTAATAAATAAATCTTTAAAAAAAAGAAAAAGAAAAAAATAGAAACAACAAATCAGGCAAGCACTATGGGAAAGCACTTGCTGTGGGAGGCGTGGAAACAGTGTACAAACTCCTTTCTCCTCCTCTGCGAGCTGCAGTTGGTCCTGTCGCACAACACTGTCTCCTCTGCTATGGATTCAGGAATAACTGGTAAGGAAGAGATGGGAATGGCAAGTTGTTTTAGTTTAGGTTGAGGGCAGCAGCTGGTGCCCTGGTCTCCGTAATTCATAGCTGGGGTAGGAGCCAGACTTAGGCTCCTCCTCAAGGGATGCAGCACGGGATGGTGAGCTGTCCCCAGAAACATTTTATCCATTCTGTAGGAAGTCAGCTCTTGAACTTTACTTTTGATTGCTTATAAGATAAGGCCTCAGGTTGTTCAGACTGGCTTCAAACTTGACACCTAGCTGAGCCTGGCCTTGAACTCTTGATTCTCCTGCTTTTAACCTCCTGAGTGCCAGGATTACCTGTGTGCATCACTACACCCAGCTAAATTTGTTTTTGAAAAAATATCAACCCCAGTGAATCCTTCTTCCCCAAAGACTTATACAACCCCTAGAAAACTGCCCTTCCTATTATATGCTAATATAACAGAATTTCAGAAAATACGTTTGCATTTATTTGTAAAAAGTGAAAGGCTTCTGATGGTTCTGCGCCATCCTCTGTCTACTGATAGAAAAAAATGCTGAACAAACACCCGTGTACCATGGTGGGTCTGCATTCCCACCAGCAATGGATGAGGGTACCCCTTCCTCATAGCCCCCAAAACGTCACATGTCCTCCGTTTGCCCAGTCACATGGTGTCTCAGCTTTCCTACTACGCTCTCCGCAGGCATCCACTGGAGACTCTGCAAACCTCCTGTGTGTGGAGCTCTGCCATCAAGCAAAGAGTAGGCAGGATGCTTTCGGAGTCTGAGGGTTCTTGAAGGTGGAGTCGTCTGGGCTACAAGCCTGGAAGGTTGAGGGTCAGCAGGCAAGGAGGTGCTGAGTAGGGTTCCTGGAGCCTGGGCCAGCCCCTTCAGGAGATGTCCCTAGAGTCTCCACTCGCAAGGGAAAATGCGTGTGCTAAGTTGGTAGGCTATGCTCGGGTTGCTGGATAGAGAGAATTCTAGAAAATGCAGGCTTCTGCTTTTCTGCCTCACAGAAGTCCCCTTCTAGTTCAGGCGAGGCTGTAGCTAGTTCTCCTGAGGGAAGGGAAGAAACCAAGAAGGAAGAGAGAGGTGAGATACGGGTCTCCACCCTGTCACAGAGTGCCACAGAAGTTTCAGCGGCTGTTCCATGCCTTGCCAGCAATTCTCCACTCACAGGCCTACTAAAGCCATGGCCAAGTTCCAGGTCCCCAACCTCTAGGCATTGTTGAGTGGACAGCAGGACCTCTGGGCCCTTTAGCTGAAGGCTGATGCTACCAGCTATGAGAATAAGGAACTGCTGATAATGCTGCCTGCGTGTCCTGGGGAGACATGGACACCAACTTATATATTTGTAAGCAGACACATCTGTGGGTCAGGTGTATGTTGATGGGGTAGCACACACTTTCCAATAGGCACCTCTGGGCCCTGTGCTGAGCTCCTGGAATAGACGGATTAATGAACTGTATTCTCAGCTGTAAGATGCCTGCACTGTCCTGGGAAAGCCAGGCAGTACACACATCCTCCATGTGGTCAGATGTATGGTAGGAGAAGGACAGCCGTGGGAGGGATGAGCAGGAGGCTCCCAGGCTTCGGCACTCTCTGAGACGGGGATCCAGAAGGAGAGAATGAGATCAGGCGAAGGCGCCCTACACTGGGCGGACAGCAGGTAGAGCTGTACAATGAGCAACGCACCTAGATGTGGAACTTGGCGGAAGTGCAGGGCGGAGGGTACCTGAGTCACTGGTATGAGGTGTTCTAGGTCACGCGAGTAGAGAGTAGACCGGGTGCAGGGGAGATCTAGAGAGTCCTCACATCCCCCGTCTACCAGGTAGTGCAAGGAAGAAAGCTGAGGATAAAGACTAGAGACAGAAGGAAATCTGGGAGCAGGGAGTGTCACTGAAGCTAAGACAAGCAGCAGGAAATCTGACGGCTCGGCTGCTGTTAACTGTTAGGCACCAGGGTGTGTGTGTGTGTCCCTTAGGCTGGTAACCCTGCCAGTGTGTACCCAATGTACAAGCACTGCCCACCTCCGAAGGCTTAGCTGGGAGGAGGCATCCTGGCTTGGCGTCTTGGGAGTGGGGCCAACCATGAGGATGCAGAGACCAATAAGGATCATGCAGGTGGGCACAGCACCGATGAGGACCTTGAGGGTGACTACCACTTCCTCTGCTTGCTGGCAGGCTCTTGCCTTATACCCTGCGAACCTGGAGAAACACCACCCCTCCCATTGTCAGCTCTGTTCTTGGTGCAGAAGTCACCGATGTGTCACCCCATCCTTTCCTGATAACTGACTGCTAGCCAGATTGGGTATAAGGAGTTCAGAGCCCCTTAGTTCTGATGCTGGGGTTCCTCGCACTCCATAGAGTGCGGCACGCACTCCAGACTCATGGGTGGGGGTTCTGTCTCCTCTTCCCACCCCCCTGGTCTTTCGTGCTTTTGGTGTACCCCATCCCTAGGACTGACTCCAAACTGAGGGTGGAGATGCCCAGGGCGCCTGCGCCTGAGAGCTTGGTGAAGAAGACGTAGGATGAGTAGAAGATGGTCTCCACGCCTGGGCCATGCCGGTGCTGCAGCTGGAAGTCATCCACCACATCTGGCAGCATGGACCTGGGGGCAGGTGCATAGAGTTAGCCCTCTTCTCTTTGAGAAGCCCAGGGCTTCTCAAAGTCCTTCTGCGAGTCCTCAGGAGGGCAGAGACTACGTTGGAGACCTCTGCTCAGAACCAACCCACAGCGCCCAGTGTTTCCCTCTGCTGTTGTTGGCTCCAAGGAAGGAACTGGTGGTCCCATCCAAGAAGGACAGCAGGAAGAAGAGAGACTCCCTTACTGGAGGGTATGAGGCTCCCCCCAATCTCCCATCATTTCATCCAGCCTACCAGGGTAGCAGCAGGGACACAGCAATGCTCACACCAGAGACAAAGGCCACAACATAGGCCACAGGTGCAGAGGGCACAGCAGCCAGCAAGATGGAAAATGGCACCATTATCTGGGGAGAGAGACCTGTGAGCCAGCCCTCCACATTCCCCAGCCTTCCTTTCTCATAGCAGGCTCAGCCTTTGTGATGCAAGATAAGCCCCGCACCTGGCCACGGGAACCCAGATCTAACCCCCACTGAGCTCAGGCTCCATGGTTACCTCCTCAGCTACCCGCAAGCCTTGCTTCTTGATTCACTCACACAGATCCCGAACGCAGACGTCCTCTTCCCAAATCGCTGGAGGACCCTCTCCCACAGTGGGGTGCTCAGCACAGCTGAGATCTGTGAGCACACAGCATCATCCCACCAGGCCCTGAGGTCCACACCTTTCTCCAGACCTCAAAACCCTTGCTTTTAGGTAGGACACCCAACCTCAGACTGTCTGGTTTGAACCAGTAGCTATTCCCCAACTCCACCCTCTGCTGGAATGGGACTGAAACAAAATGTGACCATGAGACCTCTGGGAACAGAGGTTCTCCCTCAGTCTCCCAGGGCCCCAGCCTCCACCTCCTTGGTCCCCTTACCAGGATGGTTAGCACCAAGCTCTGAACATGTTCTTGTAGCCGGGAGGCGTGTGTACAGAACAGGACCAGGTAGCTTTGTTCCACCTGAGGACATGCACGGGAAATTGGCAGGATCAGAAGTCACATGTAAGGGGAAGGTCTTCAGTAAGGTCTCCCCACTGAGTCCTTGAACTCAAAGGATTTCCCCTCACCATGGATACAAGCATCCTTCCCTGTGCACTGTCCCTGTTCGCATAGTTAAGATCAGACGGACTTAACTATAGCTCAGGTAGTATGAGAGGCTGTCCTCCCAGACATCACCCCAGTCACACAAGTCACACCCAGGGTTTTCTTCCCAGCACACTCTCAGTCATGTGTCATTCCCTGTAAAACTGAAACCTAGCCGGCCATGATGACAGATGTTTGTAACACCAGCACTTGTGTGGAGGCAGGAGAATCAGGAGCTGATGGATGTGATGGCCAGAATCAACTACATAGCAAGTTCAAGGCCAGCCTGGGCTACACGAGACCCTATTCCAAATGCCTGTTTATGATAAGCACAGCCAGAGCAAATCAAAGATCACTTGGCCAGCGGTACCTGGACAGCAGCTGAGATGAACAAGAAGGAGACCACCAGACTCAAGTAGGGCGGGTGCCGGGAAGTGATGGCCAGCCCCGTGAAGAAGCTCAGGCCCGGACCTGAGGCTGGGGCAGAAGTGTCTGCAAAACAGGAAGGTGATACCTGGACTGGCAGAGTCAAAAACTCAGCTCCAGGAGGAGTCCTGCTCCCAGCTCCTGTCTCTCATGTTCTCACACTCTCTGCACCCTATACCTGGCCTCTCCTTCACTCCTAGGCACAGCAAGCCGCCACACACAGGATACGTCAACGCAACCACAGCAGCCGCAATGCAGTAGAGGCGCGCCTGCGGGAGAGGACAGTACTGCACTGAGCGTAGTGTTTCCAGACCAGGCAGGGAAGCCGGAGCACCCCTCCATGCCTTCACCCCAAGCCCGAGGATGCTGGCTTCTGCTGCTCCACTTCGCTCAGGAGTTAGGCCTAAGAGTTTTGCTCCTCTGATGACTCTTTGCCCCGCTATGGAAGGGAACAGCTGTGCCACCAGAGGTCAGCGTGCCTACTGTTCCATCTTAGTCAGCAAATAGGCATTGCTGGTAACTTCTGTGTCCTAGATCCAGAGGTCACAATGATGACTAAGTGGCTCCTCATCCACAGCAAAGACGGGACAGTGGTGAGGACTGTGCACATCCACAGGCAGCTAACAATAGTGTGATGGACGGAGACCCAGAGGAAATACAAAGAAAGTGAAAGATAAAGAGATGCTAGGGGATAATAGCCAATGAGGATAGAGGGCAGAGGGGGCGGCAGGGAGTGCAGAATGGCTTTCCCAGTCGAGTTCTGTTCTGTGTGTTTCCCTGGCCTTACCCTGGAAAACGCACTGTGCTGGACTCCAATTCTTTGCTTTCATTGTCCCAAAATTGTTGGTAATTTTGTATGGGATTTTTTTTTTAAAGCAGGTCTTTGTGTTGCCCATGCTGGCCTATAGCTCACTATGTAGCCAAGGGTGACCTTACACTTGGGATCTGCCTGCCTCCACCTCTTGGGTGCTAGGATTACAGCTGGGAGCCATCATTGGCTTATAAGGTGCTGAGGGGCTTCAGATGTTCTAGGCAAAGTCTCTGGCAGCTGAGTGGTAACTCAGCCCCTGTGTTTTCTCCTGTTGTTGTTTTTGTCTATTAGTGGTTTGTCATTGGCCCACACACACTGACAGGTTTGGTATAACTCAGGTTGGCCTTAAACTGACTCTATAACCAAAGATAGCCGTGAACTCCTGCTCCTCCTGTCTCCATCTCGCAGGGCGCCACCGCGCCTCGCTTGTGCTTTTGCTGGGGCTGTTTGGTTGGTTCTGGCCACGCCTGGTGATTGAGTCCATTAGTGCCTCATGCATGCTTGTCGAGTGCTCTACACTGAGCTGCATGGTCTGTGTCCTCTCTCTGTCTGTCTCTCCCTCCTTCCCGCCCTCCCCTTCTTCCAGACAGGCTTGGTGGAGAACCTGATAGGTGTTGGGCCTTATGAGTTCGGCTAGAGAGGTAGGGAAAGGATGAGCAGCCCCACCCGAAGAAGAACCGACAGAAGAGCATTTCTGGAGGAAGGAGTTGACCCCGCAGAGGGGCTCCTGCGTTCCTCGGACACTTACTACATCTGGGGACACAGCAGTACTCCCTGCGAGCACAGGATCCTCACACCTCCGAGACCCATGGGCACTGGACACGAGGAGCCCATGGACAGTGGCTCCCATCAGTGTCCCTGCCATCTCCATGGTCATCCCTGGAGACAAAGCATGTACAAGGTGGCATGGTGAGCTGCAGGAACTGGGGGACAGCAGCTTCCGAGCGAACACAGAATTGGACTCACGGTATGCAGTGGCAGAGTCTCGCTCCCTGGGGCTGGGGGTGAGGATCATAGTGAGCGCTGTGTAGGGTACCTGGAAGAACTGGCATGGCCCCTGAGCTTAGAGTGGCCTCCACCACCCATACTGTCACTCACGGTCTGTGTCTCCTTCCCCAGCCACTTCGCTATGCAAAAACCAGCAGCCACCCTGTCCCATCCAGATTCCTAAAAGGCCAAAGCATCCGAATCTCAAAGCGAGGGCTGAGAAGCAAGGCCCTGAGCAGCAATATTGTTGGTGACAGGTTTCCAAGCACTGATGGGCAGCCCAGAGCAGTGAAGTCAACCTACAATACCCTTACTCTGAATAGAAATTTTATCTGGCGGAGGGGCTCACCAGAACCAGGCCTAGGAGGGGCGGTCACACACTTACCGTAGACAGGGCCTGGTACAGGCAGTAGAAGGTGGCATACCAGAGCCCACGCAGGCTGGTGAACGGGGGCAGAAACCACAGGAAGAAGTAGGCCAGTGCGATTAAGGGCATGCAGCCCAGTGCCCTATAGAAGCGCAACTAAGGAATGGTGCCTACAGGACAGGGGCACCAAGGACCCAGCAGGAACAACCTCACCCTGTTTCTGCCCCTTGAGGGGGCCCTGGAGCTGGGGCTCTCAGGAAGCCACGGAGACAGAGGGAAGCGAAGGTAATGGAAGGAGGGACATTCACTCTTGGGACTCTGGCCAGGGCCCTTAGGGGTGCCGTTCACTGTATTCAGGACAGTGGAGAGCTGGGGTTCACTTAGTGGTGGGGCATTTGGCCTGCACATATGAGGCACTGTTTGCTTTCCTGGAGCACAAGCATATTACTTTTCCTCCAGGGCCTTCCAGCCCAGTTCCACCACGGGAGCCATCCTGAGCCCCCTGATGAGGGACAGACAATCCCTAAGCATGTCTCTGGAGTACCGTGAGACTCATTCTGACCTAACTCATCTCCTGCACCACACAGGCTTGGCTTCTAACCATCCAAGGTATCACCTAAGAAACAGGCTGTGATGGTGACGCAGGGCCAGGGGAGGGGTCGGGGGTCTAAGCACCAAGGGGCTGCTCACCAAGGCATTAGCCGCCCAGCCCTTGTCCTTCTGCTTTTGTTGATGAAGAAGCCAGCCACGGGGTCTGCAACCGCCCCAGACACCTTCCCTCCGAACAAGGCAAGGGACACCTGGGCAGCGGGGATCTGAAATCATCAAGAGGAGAGAGTCAAGGCTCCACGAAGTCAGAGAACACAGTCAGGCTTGCTTGCCTGTGGAAAAGGCTCCTGCCCAGGACATGATTCCAGAAAGCTCTGAGGGACATGGAGCTGGTGAGGAGAGGGGAAAGCTGATGGCTGTGCACAGACATTCTATCACTATTTATTAGTTTGCCTTTTGGTTTTGAGGTAGGACAGTGGTTCTCAACCTGTGGGTCACAGGGGTTCCATATCCAATGTTTACATTATGATTCTTAACAGTGTCAAAATTAAAGTTATGAGGGAGCACCGAAATAATTTTATGGCTGGGGGTCACCATAACATGGGAAACTGTATTAAAGGTTGCAGCATTAGGAAGGTTGAGAGCCAGTGAGAGTTTTGAGACAGGGTCTCATGTAGCCAAGGCTGGCCTCAAACTAGCCATGCTGCCGAGAGGGTGGGTTGAACTCCTGAGCCTCCTGCCTCTCTACTGGAATGCTGGGATGACAAGTGTCTGTCACCACACCTGATTATTTTCTCATTTTCCTAGCACAAGCAGGACGTAATGAGTATCCTTAAAGAGTTTTCCTTCTACGGCCCTTTTAAATGTTGCTACCAAGCTTGGGTCAAAGGACGATCTACCAAAACCAAAGCGACAGTATGGGCAGAGAGGAGGTAGAAAGACCAGGGAGCTGCCCACACTCACCTGTGCCACATCGAGTAGGAAGAGCTGCAGGTAGAAGGCTGAAGCGCTGGAGGCCACCTGGTTGGGGACCCCACCAATGCCATAGCACACCTTCGTACAGACTGAGAGACGACCGGCTCTGCCGTCCTGGGGGAGACACGGAAACTAACCCCTATTCCTAGAGACACGAACCAGTGCTCCACGCCCCAGTGACTTTCATAAACATCCTATATTCCCTGGCGACTCGAGGGCTCATTAGCAACCTCAGCCTCATTTTGACCCCAGATCACCCTATGGAGAAGTGAGAGAGAGAATTAAGAAACAGAATTCTAAATCTTGACCTCTACACCATTCCAGGGGGAAGTTCTTCCTTGCATTCCGTCCCCATGCTTCCTGCCACAGCCACTTTCTGTCGGAGTCAGTGGAGCTGTGGGCCCTATGTAATCTTGAACACATCCCTTTATGTTTGTAGGCTGCGTTTTCCTCATCAGATGCAATCTTCCTGCTAACTTGACAAGGCTGTTAGGATGAGTGAACGAGACAGTGGCTCTGCGAATCTATCGTTCAATGTTTGGGTTTATTTTACATTTATGTGTGTGTGTGTGTGTGTGTGTGTGTGAGAGAGAGAGAGAGAGAGAGAGAGAGAGAGAGAGAGAGAGAGAGAGAGAGAGAGAGAGAGAGAGAGAGACAGAGAGAGAGAGAATGGTGTGGAGGTCACAGTATGCTCTCTCTTTCCACCATGGGGACCCTAGGTAACAGACTCAGCTCATCAGGCTTGGTGGTAGGTATCTTTAGCCACTCAGTCGTCCAATGTTTGCGACTTTTGCAAGCCCGTGGCATCAGCTATGATGGGGGTGTGTACACCACAGACACCAGCAAACCTTACCCCCTTTCTTTTGGAAAGACTTTATCGACCCAGCAGTATGACAGAATAGTCTAAGAGCCTGGAACGTGGAATATCACAGCCCCTCAGCCGAGTCATGAACATTGGATAGCCAGCTCACAGTCCCATGGTCTAAACACAGGTCCTTGCTGCCATCCCACTGTGAAGCCAGCTCCAAACCATTTGCCACAGGGCATTAAATAACACAGACATTCGCTCAGCCACTCAGGCCAAGACCTTGTCATCCTTGGTTCCTCTCTTTTCCAATTCCCCTGTCAGGCGAGCTTCCTAAGTGGCTCCCCTGCCGCTAGTCCACTCCCCCTGCTGCAGCCAGTGCTCTTTGAAGAAATAAATTAGACTAGGTCTGCTCTCTGCTTAAAACCAATAACTTGTCTGTCTTTATTGTCTAGTAAAAGCCCAAGTCCTGGAAATGGCAGGCAGGAGCTCACTTTACTCCCACTCCCTCCCTTTCTTCAAATAGCCTTCTTGGTGGGAGTTTCTTATTGTTCAAACCCTTTGACTGCTGTTTCCTCGGGGTCTTTGTGTATACTTTGTGTGTATACACACATATTGTTTTCTCTGGAAGGTTCTTCTGTGTCTTTCAAGAATTTCAAGAATTGATTGCTTGCCATTTAAATGTTTCTTCCTTAGAGGCATTCCCTCCCTGACAGCTCAGGTCTCTGAATTGGCCAGAGTGTCTGGCATACTCAGGTAAGCTGAGAGCATAAATTTCTAACTCACTGTGAGGTCTCTACTACCTAGGTGATCAGTCGGGGCTTAGTATGCTATTAAAGCAATAAGTGACCAGGAGGACATTGTAAAGTGTTCTGTGATCAATAATGCTAGGAACCCGTTTTTTCCTCCTTTGTCTGGGGACAGGAATGGGGTGGAAAGGAACTGGGACTCTGCCTATCTCAGTATCTTGAGGGCACCACAGGCAGGCTGCTCGGAAGGGAAGGTCTTCCCAGATAAGGTTTATCACACACTTCACACAAGCTTCCTACCCCAGGAGAAAAACCATTCTCAGGGCTGAGTGCATACTTTTTTGACATTTGTGTGAACTGTATTGCAACTTCTGGAAAAGCTTAGTTGGCAGAATCCAGTGTCAGTGGATTCTCGACCCATAATGAGTCTCTAGTTTCCCCTTACATGGGCCTATAACAGAGGGCCAGCCAAACAAATTCCGGCAGAAACTGAGGTGAGCCAGTCCTGCAGTCTTCGGAATGGTCATTTGGTCACCTAACCCCTTCAGTCCATGAAATCTACATTTTACAAACCGACCAACTGGCTGTGACCTAGGCAAGGCGCTTAGCTGCGATGACGAGGAAAGTGCAGATCTATACACATCAGAGTATCAGGATAATTGACACACTGGAGGGAGCTTCATGGCAGCCTCAGTTTCTTTCCTCTCTGTCTCCCTTCCTTCCATCCTTCCTTTCTCTTTTTCTTTGCCGATCACACCACCCCAATACCCTGAATTTTCCTGGAAAATGCGAGTCCCCAGAGGGTCTCCTACTCCACCCTGCCCCCAGCATATGAGTCTTACCATGCTGGACAAACCCTCTGCCCCTAGGCTCCATCTCTACTCCTCTGCTTTTCTGATTAACTCTTCACGTCTTCCCAGAACCTCAAGGAATCTTCCTGCCTCATCCAGGAACTGGGACTACAGGCATACGGAGGCACCAGGGGTCTCCCCGTTAAGGAATGCCGTTTTCTTTTGCTGAGTTGCCTGACAGTAAACCCTGAATGGAGATAAGAGGTGGAGGTGGTAGTCTACTGAAGCCGCAGAAAAAACTTGCAGTGGAACTGGGGTGGCCCCGTCTCAGCTCTACTCACGAAGAGAACACAGAGGGCCTAAGAACACCTTGGGGTCCCATTTGCCCACCCCCACACCTCCAAAGCCCCCACCTGGGCACACTGGGGGGGGGGAAGCCCAGCCTTCTAAGTACTTGGGACTTGGGCAGCACCAGGATTTTAGAGGGAGGCTAATTCCACAGGAGCTGCCTGGAGTTTGGAGAAGGGAGGCCAGGACTGAAGAGGCCTCCAGAAGGACCTGCAGTGGTCTGGGATCAGGACGCTAAGAAACCTGACTGATCCTTCCTGCCTACTTGTTGCTTCATGTCAGGGCTCCGGGTGCCATTCTGTTTTCTCTGGGGTGTCCCAGGGGCAGCAAACTCTGTACTCCGTTCAACATCTGGATAAAGGGCAGTGGCAGGTGCCTCTCTTCCCTGCCCTTGGGAGAGCCCAGCAGCCCCCCTTTTCCCTCTCACCACCCTCCTGAAGCTCACCGAGTCTGCCTCCTCGGTGTGAGGATCTGCGACCGGAGCCTGGGTGGGTTCCTGAGAAACCAACATCGCTGCAGCTGCAGGGCTTCTCTGCTCTGGAACGTCACAGCTATCTGGGCTGGCGCGGGAAGGGTGGGTCAGGCAAAGTGGGCGCGGCCCAGGGCAGGCAGCCGGCCCCTGGGGAACCCCTGCGGTCTTTGCTGGACCTTGAAGGAAGCTTCCTATTCTCCTCTCCAAGGAGGAGCTCGTCAATCCCCACACGCCTGGGAAAATCGGCCAACTCCTCAGGGACGATTTTCTTTTCTTGGCAGTCGTGTTGTAGGCAAGAACTCTCAGCTAACACCCCCCGCCTTGTGAAAACCAGCAAACAAATTTATTCTTTAAATGAAGGAATACGCTCCACTTGCTCAAACTAAACTATAGCTGAGTGGGCTTTCAGCTTGAAGTACATATTTCCCAGGCTTCCCTATAGGTAACTACTGGCAGGTACATCTGTGCAACTAAGCGTGGCAGGAACAATATCCCAGAAGTGCTTTTAAACGCAAAGGACCACACTGTATAAAACTCCTTGTCAAAATAGTGTGAGGAGCATGCCTTGTATTATCAGACTACCGAAACAATGGACCCCAATAATTAGTCAGCCCCACCCCCAACAACACAACAAAAACAAACAAAACAAAAAACTCCTGGGCACCCAGTGAAGGAACTTAGAGAAAGATCTCCTCCACCTGGGCAGGACTGCTGAGTTCCACTCCCTCTTGGAAATGGACGTGGTAGTCTTTGAAGCCTCTGGTTGCTCTCCTCAATGTGCCCATACTGAATATGCCTCCCCTTCCACTATTCACTGGACTCCGAGTTAGTGTATAGACTGCTCAACCCAGTTTGTTGGGAGCACAGGCCATGTGACTTCAAGTTCAGCAACAACAGGTGCAATGTACGTATTAGGATACAAGCACAAGCTGATTATATATATATTTGCTGCAAATAACCACGTGGCAAGGAATTCATATTCTCCCAAGTGTGGGGGATAACACTCACAAATTATAGAGCATTTATATTGGGATATACAAATAACTCTCTTAATAGCAGAAAAAAATCTCATTTTAAAATGCATAAGTTCCTGAGAAAACGCCATCACTGCAGGGCTGCTCTGCTCTGAATGTCGCAGTGCGGTGCACTGGGCAAGCTTGGTGGTGCACGTCTTTAATCCTAGCAGAGGCAGGCAGATCTCTGTGAGTTCAAGGCCAGCCTGGTCTCCAAATCTATAGAGAAATCTTGTCTCAAAAAACAGACAAACAAGACACACAGAGTGGTATTCTAAAGCTGTACAGATGAACTACAAGGACATAAAAACACGCTCATGCTGCTGTCGCTGTGCACATTTCTTAGAGACAGGACTAATACACTTAAAGATTACCTTTAGAATATCTGTAGAACTTTCTATGAGTATGAATGAGTATGAGTTGTCTGTGCCAAAACAATTTAAAACAGATGACAAAGAGCAAGTTATAAATGTAATGAGTGAGCCACTTCTGAGATCCAGTGTGATAAACAAATTTTATCCAAGTGTTGTCCTTTGGCAAAGAACAAAGGTATATACTAATAAGGCTCCATGCTATGTCAGAAGAACAAATGCAACCGTTGTATTGGTACTAAAATATCACTTTTTCACATTTCTGAGCATCAACTCAAAATAACATTGGCTAAAGAAAGAGCATCTAATAAATAATATTGATTCTCAAACTGAATGACTTAGATAAAAATGACAAAAGTATTCACATGTACTATTTTATAACAAGTGTAAACTATCTAACAGATCCTTTCAACGAACAGCATTTTATCTTTAAGAGAACAGTTCATTTAACCATTAGCAAAATACCACATCAAAAACATATTAAGGCACTAAAATAAATACACACATACTGCAATGACAATGTATGAAAACATAAAGAGGTGTACAGAATAAGTAAAGATAAAGTAAAATTAATTTAGCTTTGAGAGTGCATAGTAATCTAGCTGGCAGATTAGGATGTATAAATCAGATAGGTACTCCTGTACGTCCATCTTATCTGCAAGATAACTGGTGACAGATTTGAAGCAATGAATTGGGTCAAATTGCATCCTACTCCTAAGATGGCCACTTATTTCAAGTTTTGCTTCCCTTCCAACTTATTCTTCCAAAGTCAACCTGTGGTAAGGAGTCTAGCAACTTCACAGCTTTGGATTTTCAAGTAAAAAGCTTTATCAGATGATTATCTTTAAGAACACCATTCACACTAACATTTTCACAGTTTAGAGAAACACAAGTTATTGCTGATGACTGTCCTTCCCATTGGAATGTCTCCCCAGCATGTACTGCATAGGATACACAAGAAAGTCCTGTGGCTTCCGGTTAATGACAAACTGGAAAATCCACAAAGGAGGCTTTTGTTTGTTTTTCTTTTCTTTTTTCTTTTTTTGTAGAGACAGGAGAAACATGCTTGTGAGAGGCCTTTCATAAAAATATAAAGAACTGCTTATCATTTACAATGATGCAGATAGAAAGGTTTCATGATAGGCCCATAGGAAACATTTCCTTAGATTCTTGACATATCAACAACTCAAAGTTTTTGCCTGTATCCAAAAGTCAAAATCATCGATTTTACTACCCTCTTTTTTGTTAAGAACATAATTATTTGTTTTACTAAAGAGGGTTCCGTGTAAACATTATCGACAATAAATATTTAATTTTCTAATACATACCTGCTGAATTCCTAGGTAAAAGACACAATGAAAATGCTCTCCTTCATCCTCTATACTACCCACCCAGAAGGTGAAGGTGTGGCATATGGAAGGCTGGGAACTAGGGAGGACAGTGTCTTTAAATAAGACTGCAAAAGAAAGGGCTGAGCCAGGACGTCCAGTAACGTACATAGGTTCTGCCTTGTAATTCCTGAGTTCAAACCTCATTCACTCTTTCCCAGCCCCACCTCATCTGTGATGGGAGGCAAGGCACAGGCTACGTCATGAGTGCTTCAGCTCTAAGGGGGCAGCCTGAGTAAACTTGGGAAGAGGATACTGCTAAGTGAGGTCTACACACTGCATGTCGGTGGAGTCAGCCGCAGTCTATGGTGAAGTATACAGGGTGGATTCTCACAGTACTCAGGCCTAGCACCGATTCCTGCAGCGTTACACTAAATCCCTACAAACCACTCAGGGCTCCACCTGGAGCTGGCACCATCTCCAACACAGTGAACCATGTTCGTGGGAGGTGGCAGGAACAGACAGACAGTCTTATTCTGTAGCCCAAGCTGGCCTTGACCTCATGGTAATCCTCTTGCCTCAGTCTCCTAAGTGCTATGATCACAGATGTGGGCTACCATGTTTGGCCAGGTATTGGCCCTTTGGAAATTACTCCAAATAATCCTTTGTCAGAATGTCTTTCCTAACCATACAGCGCTATATGCTTCTTTCTTATTCTCACAAATGAAAAGAGCTGTCTTCTAGAGGCTGTAAGGTAAGTGATCCTACAACACAGAGAATGGAGAAACAGGTGAGAATCATTCATCTTCACTGTTAGACAAACTTTTGGAAAAATATACAATGCCACCTTTCTCAATAAGTCTTTTCATGCTTTGGAAATTATTTAATTTTTTAAAAAATTAAGGTGTATACGTTTTTTTTTCTTGTGTGTATCACTTGAGCGCAGTACCCAGAGGTCAGAAGAGGGAGCTGGATGCCTTGAAACAGGAGCTAGAGTGGTTTCGAGTTGCCATGTGGGTGTTGGGAATCAAACCCAGATCCACAGCAAAAGCAGCCAGTGCTCTTAACTGGGTGTGAAAGTTGTTATTGTTAAGAGACAGGGCTTTACAATGCTGCTCAGGCTCACTGACCCTCCTCTCTCCGGAGGTGTGGGGGCATGAGTGAGAGCTAGAGCATGCACAACTGTGGGCAGCTTCCAAGTTATTATTTTTAAGTGAATAAACACTTGAAAACTTTGAGGATTCTTTTCCCCTGCTAGACAGGGTTCCTCTATATGGTCCTGGCTGTCCTGGAACTCACTCTGTAGACCAGGCTGGCCTAGAACTCAGAGATCTGCCTGTGGCTGCCTCCTAAGTACTGAAATTTAAGGTGTTCACTACCACCACCTAGCCAAACTTTGGGTTTTTAATAATTATATACATATAACTCACATAAAAGGTTTATAGACTATATCCAGCACCTATGGATACTGCTGCTGGTATGGGCCACTTAATCTTTGCTACAATGTATACCTCTCTTGTTTTTATTGATTTTTATTTAGATTTTAATTACTTAAAGTTTAATTCAACAGATTATTTGCAAATAATTTATTTCTAAACATGGGATTTAATCTGAAAATCAAAACATAATTGGTTTTAGTTAAAAGCATAAGATACTAAGCATGTTTTCCTATAATGCCTACACAGGTTTACTGTGATATGAAGTAGAAAATGTGTACTTTATGTGAATTTAAGAAATGTTCACACATTTGTACTATGACAAAATAGATTCTAGTTGAGTGTCAAATGGATGGCTAATTACAAATGTTAGCTAAAAATAAATTCCTAGTTTTGGGGGAGAAAGTAGGAAGAGAATGAACTGTGGCTCTTGGGGAATTGTTTGTGTGTGCTTTTACACTGCAGTATGGGGGTCCTCTTTAACGACTCAACACACCTCATCCTCTTCAATGAACGCCTACGTGAGCTCTTGCCCTAACTCCCTGATGAAGAGGATCACTCTCCTCGAGCAATTCCATATTACACAGGTGAAGGCCTGCTGAAGGCGGGGCCCGCATCACACCCCGGGAAGGTGGTGAGCTGGCCAGGCTGCCCTACCTGTAAACATGGCTTCACACACGCAGCGCCTTCATCCTGCACCTGAGCCAGGGCACTGTACAGATTAATTTCTTCCACGACCACACAGACTTATTCTGTGCCTCCTTATGGCAATGGCGACCTCCATTGACAAGAACAGGGACCTCCACACACACCGCCCAAGCCTTCTGGAGGAATATGGCTGCTGAGAGGAGCTGGCTAGACAGCTACACTCTGCTCACACCATGGCAGACAAGTTGTTCAGCCCAAAATCTACCCGAAACATCCTCGAGGACTCCTTCTAGGGTTCTGCCCTTTGGACTACTGCTCCCTCACTCTGCAAGCTAAGTCTGGGCCTGGACCAGCTGGGAAGCAAAGCCTTCCTTGAAGGGATTGCTTTAATAGTTACTTTTTATGTTTGTCTCTGGGTTTACAACCTCTCTCCCGCCTTCAGCCCACTGTATGAATTATATAGATATTTTTACTTAATTTGATACCAACTTTTCCTTAAATTTACATACATTAAATATATATGCATTCCTTTAAAAAAAAGCTTTTTTGGTTTTGGTGTTTTGTTGTTGCTTTGTTTTTGCTGGGGTCTGATTGAACCTAAGGTCTCATATATGCTTGACAAATATTCTACCATTGAACTACATCCCCAGCCCTTAAAATTACATACAGAAGGTATAGAAAAATGTAGGCACCTAATACTAATATTATACTACACAATTTCATTCCTAAAAATATTATACATCTTGGATACTGATGCCAAATTAATATTTGAATATCTCTTGCCATCACAGAGTGAAAACTGAGAAGCCGTGACGGTTAGGCACTATAATAATTACATCAATGCTTTTAACATATCATGTACAATATTTTAATATGTTGCTATTTAAAAACTGAGATAGCTAACATTTATATTAATTATCTGCTGTTTCAATACTAATGCTGTGAAACTCTTAATTTAGACCACATTAAGATTAATGACATAGCTATTTAATTTATCATACTGTTTAACTAGTATTTGAAGATACATATTCTTTTCTGAGTGGCCTTTGGGAAAAGTGCATTAACTGTGGTTTCCAGCCATACATTACTCTCCTAACTTGAACTTGTGATTATTTAAACCCCCTCACAAGGAATTAAGTAGCATTCAAACTCCAAGCTCAAACTGACATCTGTCTCCCACATCTGCATGTGTACTTCCAACCGTCATTTCTCTCAGTCTCTCAAATAAACTGTCAGAGTTTTCTAAAAGGTTCAGAAGTTATCTGTAGTCTCTGAATGATAACAGCATTCTGCAAATCTGCTTCTTCCAATGTGAGCGTCTCATCCAGAAGTCTGAGAAAAGGAAGAGCCGTTGCCAGGGCAAAGGGGGGGCTTCTCTGAGATCCTTGGTATTTTTCAATGAAGTCTTTGATGTGGCTCACCCTGCAAAATACCACAAATTATTAATTTATGAAAACCTGAACTAGCTAATTTAAGGTAGGTAGCATCAACTTTTATAGATATTTGGATTTGTTAAAATAGAGACTAGAGAAAGTCTTACATGATACAACGAATCATTTACTTGTTTTTTAAA